AAGTATAGGAAGAAGGTGGTATTATGGAACCCTGCAGGTATTATGGAACCCCTCCATTTCAAACTGATAATAAAGACGAACTGTAGCGGATTGTGGCTGAACTGCACTAGGCAGACATCCATAGCAAGGGGAAAATCCGTTTCACTTCAGTAAAACGGTTGTCCGTAGTGAATTAGTATACTGTATTTGTATTTTTCAAAATTCGAAAGTTTTGAATGCTAAGTGAATTTAATTATTTTTAAAATATAAATCGCGTAGTTGTAGGTTCACTGGTGCATGTATTCCGTTCCAGAGACTTAGGGGTACATATTAATCTGTGTGGTGTTCACGTTTTTTAAATTTTGGTCTCGACAGACATAAGTTAATTCGAGATGGCGATGCGTGAAATACGGACCTCATTGGTGCTTTTAATACGGAACCCGTCTAACTTTTGTAAAAGTATGTGGTAGATGAATGAAAAATTAGAAGGAAAATGAAAAAAGTAAAAATAGATACCTAACACTATAGGAGCTTTATATTTGCGAGTGTTGTAAATGTGTGAGATCCGAAAGGCCCTGGGTCTAATTTGTGAATTTTTATTAATATGTTTAAATTATCGACAAAATATTATTCCATTTTGTGTGAAAAAACTAGTGTTTTAGACGTGGGAAAAATTGATGACAAATGTTATTTCCTTTCATCGAGGAGAACATCCGCTGTTTTTCCCATATCTGGTTAAAAATCTCGCTCCGATGGGAAATGGTTACCCCTCATTCATCCCCCTTTCATCCGTTCTCACGAAAGAGTTACTGAACGATGATTGGACGAAATTTTGAAATAAAAGGAGAAATTAGTCAGAATTCGAGGAGTTCTCCGACCGATCCGAAAGCGGGCAGACTCCATACAATTCTTCTCCAGAGTTCAGCGAGAGTTCTTCGACAGATCCGAAGCATACAAACTCCACATACGTTTCCTCCCGATGGCCAACGCCCATAACGGAGTCCGATAGACTAAGTCCTGAGTCTACACTTAGAAGAAGCGATATTTTTATAATTTGTGCACGAATTGATCTCCCATACGAAGTAACATGAACTCTATCTACATGGTGTCCTTTACCTACAGAAACGAAGACGACGACAACTAACAGGTCGTATATTTAGAATCATTTGTGAGCTCTCTCTCTCGAACGCGCATTAGCTTAAATTAAGCCGTAGCCTATAGCTTGTCGATTTATCGTTGTATTTGGTTATTTGTATTCGTTTGTTTGAGATTTATTAAATTTACTTTTGTTAATTATACTAAAAATGTCTCTTAATTTGGTGTTCGAATCAGATCGCATACGCGTGTTTGTCCGCGTGTAAAATAACCGACAAACTGGTGTCAAGGAAATCCTGACGAATATCTGAACTTCGCCGTTCAGATCATCTTTAAATACGCTCTCCTATGAAATAGATTAGGATCGGATCTTACGATTCGAAACCTTGGAGAACTAGTTTTACTAACTAGGTGCCGATTAAGCGTTACTTGAGTACTACTTACTCCGTAACCCCGGCTGATCTCACAAATGGTTAGCTTCTTCTCTGTAAATTTCTTTATTATTATTATTATTATTAAATTATTTTTGCGATAAAATACCTTGGAGTAAATAATTTTGTAATTATTTAACATTCTTTGTACTTTTCTATTTGTTTTTGGATATATTAAAGCATTATATGAAAACATACATTAAGGTTCCATATTACCACCCGTATTTCCCTAAGCCTACTTTCTGACTTTTTGTAGAAAAGTTTTCAAAAACAATACTTATAATTACACTGGCGAAAAGTCCAATTAGGAAAAACTAGTTTAATAGTTACCAGTACTTTTAGCACAAAAAATGTGGGTGTAGTTATGATACCTTTTTTACAATTAACTATAATGAAAATGGGATTCCATAATACCACCTTCTATATTATTTATCCTATTTAGATTGATCTTAACTTATAAATAAAGAATACATTTTCCAAGAAAAACTAAATAGCACTTTCAATAACTATTTGTTATTAATTAATGCTCAAAACGAGCTAGTAAATGATGATCAACATACACAAGCACTTAACAATACGAAGCTGGAAAGATTATGGCGCTGCCAATCAAAAACAATCTGTCATGGCGACACTGTATATAGAACTATCTAGCCACTGTAGTATACACAGTGGTGATATTCAGCGGGTTCGCACAGGTTCAGCCGAACCCGTTGTTAACATTTTCAAAGTTTTCCGAACCTTGTTAACACGTAACATTTCTCAGTGGTTTTGTTTCTTTTAAAAAAATATATTAAATTATACGGTAATATACTCTGTAACACTACTAAAATAAAGCCTTATACCCCGTTCGCCTTGGTGCGACCTCCCTCGACCGTTTCAATCTGACTGTAACGAGGTTCAATCGCGATCGACTCAAGACAGTTCTTGAAACTAGATCCAGACATAAGAGAGATCCCACAATCCCACGCGCCAAAAAATACAAGATGGCTGCACAACACGTGTCGATAACCCGACACGTGTTTCGCAGCCATCTTGTATTCTCTCGCGTGGTTTTTAAAAGAGATATCGTATAAAAAAGTTATTGTATTTCGAGAGACGATGACATCCGTCTATTATTAGATATATCGCAAGAAAAAGTATTGTATTTATTTCTAACCAAAACTTCCACTTTGTTTGTCGGTGTTCGTGACTTACCGCGTCGTTATGTCAGTTTTATCATCGCGTGTAATATCCTGGTTCTTCTCAAGTTAACTGCCGATGCGAACAGCACGACGTTCTACTGGCGACAGTCACAATCCATATTGTAGATTTACCGAGATCGAAGTGAGTCGTGGATTGTGTGCGAACGTAGTATATGACCGTTCATAGTTTCCGAGAAAACTGCTCGGAGCATGAGCCGGTTCCGAGGGGGGTAGCCAGTTAGTAGTTAGACGTGTGCGAGTCATGACTCAACATTGCCGGGCTTATCCAAAGACAAATAAACAACCCGTTAAAAGTTTTCATTTAATTTTTTCCATGAATTAGTATCATATTCACAATTGTCAATTCGTCCAAATTTATGTAGTTAAATTTAAATCATATATAGTCCTTTTTGCACCAGAGGAATTCCTTTATAAAGTTAATTGTTAATGTATTGGTGATCAGGAGTCAGAATTATGCAATAAAAAGACATTTAATAGTGCCAGTGCCGCGATAGTTTCGACGCTCAAAGTTTAAATTGCATAGTGTATAAAATTTTTAATAAAATAATTATTTGTCGTTTTTAGAATGAAAAGACAAAGGAATTTGGATGATTTTATAACGTAATCTAAAAAAGCAAATATTGACAATGAAGTGTAACTACAAACAACAATATCTAGTGAAAAACGGCAATAAAGAACAACCAGAAACGTCTAGTGAAGATAAACAGAAACCGACATCAATTGAGAATAATAGTAGTTGTCGTTTATTACATTGCTGGAATGCTTCACAACAGGAATATTTGTTTTTAAAAAATACGAATGGCTTCATATTGCTAGCAATACAAATGTTGAATGCCAATTGTGTTCACAAGTTGTATTTTCTAGAGTAAAAATAACTTGATCCTTTAGTACAACATATGACAACTCGTTTATTGTTCGACGGTAAAAATGAAAAATATAATGATCTTTTGAATTCTTTTAATCTATTAAATCATGAAACTTGACCGGATGATGTTTGTGAATCACCGTGGATTGAAAGTGAAAATGGATTAAAACAGTAAATTAAAATAACAAAATACGTTGTTCCTGTAAACGATTTTCGAGATTTTGTGAATGACAGAGATATAAAACAGAAAAATATTCCAATTACTATTTAAGAGCTAAAAGAATTTTAAATGTAATTGCTGTTAATTCGGCTGAAGCTAAAAGAGGGTTCAGTACGATGAATGATACTATGGATGTTAAAAGAAATTCTTTACTAATCGATACAACCAGCCATTTAATGACAATTAATTTCATGGGAAGAAGTTTGGAAGATTTCGACGCTACTCCTGGCTAAGACAAGGTCATCACCTAGCTAGTGATAAACGTGTGAAAGTAAAGGTCCCCAGTACAACTTGCAAAAAACCAAAGTATGATATGAAAATTATTGGACTAGAATTATAACCCGAATAAAGCTCTGCACAGTTTTCTACTCATTGAATATAATTATCTACATTTTGATCTCTCTTCGCCATTGATATTGATGGCGGTTGATCTGTTAGCAGCCCGATTTCTATTGATAGTTGCTATGGAGATTTCTGCTGCCTAAATAATGATCCTGGCTGATCTTTAAATGAATTGCACAAAGAGATATCTTCATCTTAGAGAGAAAGTCTGGATTAGATGAACTCGTGTCTAAGAAGTATGGAGAATAGTAAACATGATTTTTGACAGGACACTTTACTCGGTAGTATTTTTTCTTGTCGCTATGCCATACATCTGGTCCAAAGGTAGAAGAAAGCATTCTGCCAGTTGTTTAAGCTGTAAATCGAAATTTGCATCGATAATGTCTTAGCGAAATACAGTATAGTCTCTATAATCCAGCATATATCGGACGGCTGGTGTCGAATTATTTGACTTTATTGTATGCACTTATGTACAGTACAGTAAAACTCATACACAGGTTTTACAGGTTTGTTTATCATTAATCACAGTTGTGACGGTTTAATGAAAGCACATGTAACAAACAACCAGTGAATTAGTACACACGTACTATACGTCAGTCTCTCTCTGTCGCATACATCTATAACTCAAAAACGATAGTTTCATGTGCCGTGTGGAGTGTCGGATTATTAAACCTGTCGAATCGGTGAGTGACGGTCTATAGAGACTCTACTGTATTTATATTCCTCAGACAAGCAAAAATTCTACTTTGGCAAGATGTCAGCTCTGTGGGACGATTAAATTAAGTGTCACTTATCTGTATTTAATATTTTATNGTAAGCGATGAAGCAGGCAGTAATAAATGAATTAATATATTAAAAATACTCACTTAGAACAGCCATCCGAAATTCTTCTAACTCTTTCTCCTTCCAAGTGTATTCCTTCGCTTCCATTCCTATATTTGCGTCCTTACTATTAAAGTTTAATTGTTAATCCTGTATACTTATAAGAATTATAATTTGCACCAGAGATATGTGAGTATTGCGAAACGTCCGGGTTGTTACGTAAGCGATGAAGCAGGCAGTAATAAATGAATTAATATATTAAAAATACTCACTTAGAACAGCCATCCGAAATTCTTCTAACTCTTTCTCCTTCCAAGTGTATTCCTTCGCTTCCATTCCTATATTTGCGTCCTTACTATTAAAGTTTAATTGTTAATCCTGTATATATTTACTGATTATGCAAATAATTCTCTTATTAAAGAGTTGTCTAATATATTTATTGGATAAAACATTCTATATTATACGATATTTAGGAGAATCAACTCACTTCACCAGTTAACTGAATATACTGCATTATAGGCGCAGTAATTTTCCAATCTCATCTAATTATTTAAATCTTAGACTTTGTACCAATAAATATCTAATCAATAAATTTTATGATTTCTACATAAAAGCTTATAGTCAACCTATCAATTGCTGCAAATTAACATAGATTTTATTGGTTATCTACATAGATGTTGATTTTCTACAAACTGCTAAACTTTGATCTGTATTAAACTTGTCATGCTTACTCTGTGGGAAAAGCAGGCTATTATGAACTTCTGTTCCTACACTCTAATGATTTTATCCTCACTTATTAACTCCTGAACTTTCTCTTATTTACACCAAGAGACTTTATTTATTAATAATCTCTGATGTAATCTTTATCTTTGAGTGATCATAAATTGAATGCATAGCACGTGCCTACTGTGTTGAGTAATGCTTTTATTTTCAATGTGAGAATACTTCGTAAGTCGATTTTTCAAGTGGTAGTCCATCCAAAAATGTCAGGCACCGTCTTTCACCACCTGACCTAACCGAACCCAAAATGGGCTTGCAAATAGATGCCATATTGGTGACACAGGGTAGAAAGAGCTAAAAAAAGTACTATATTTACATTGTTTAAATTTATATAAAACGTTAAAGTTAACCTGAATTAATGTGTTTTTGTTTTTTCATATATTGCATTTGATTAATTAAATTAATAATTTCTTAAAAATTATGACTATTCATAACAAAATACTTGAGTTTTGTATTAATGTGGCTTTACTGCAAGAGACAAAAGACACACAGTCCAAGTCACTAGGAATTTAAAAAAAACTAACAAAATATTTTCTATATTCTCCGTGATATATCATAAGTATTTTCATCTTGCATGTTAAAAATAAAAAAGCCAAACTAAGTTAAAAATTTAACAAATTCATAAGCGAGTAAATATATAGCCTAAATAGGCAACCATTTATTTTCTTACCATATGTAATGTCATTTTGTGAATACTGATGCCGGAAATCACCGTTAGAGATTTAACATTTAAGATGTGTACAGAAAATGCTTCTCTTGCTTGTGCTATGAATTTGATGAGATATGTTATATCGTAAATATTTGATTAAATGGATATTAAGCACAGTGTATCTGTGTTATCAATAAACACGTCAAACAAGCATATCTAATCTCATTATATCGCAATAAACTGTGACAGTGATACTAACTATTTTAACTTTTTTCTTGCATTTTCTAAGATAAATTTAAAAATATTTTTAAACTACAATCATTGTAGTTATTAAACAATATTTGTATTTATTAAACAATCATTGTAGTTATTATACAATAATTGTTATTATACAATAACAATTATTGTATAATAACTACAATGATTGTTTAATAAATACAAATATTGTTTTATTATCTTTTATTATACAATAATTGTTATTATACAATAACAATTATTGTATAATAAAAAAAATAAAAGTTGTACCTGCCATTTGCACAGAGACAGACCATAGTCCACACTGAAATTTGCAAGGCTAACTTCAGGATAAAAATATCTAACGAATGTTTATTCCTGTTAAAACTTTATGTATCTTGCTATAATCTCTTGTTGTTCAATTATTACCGTAATTGATATTGAAATCTTATATCACAGAATAGTTTAGAACGAAGTCAGAATGAATTCATAAAATATGTACAATAAAAAAGCCAATCTTTTACTATCAATCTATAATATCAAATGATTTTTAGTTTCTTACTATAAATTTATACAAAATATATTACTAAACAATTTAAATATTTTGTATTAAATAATATAAATGTTTTCCTCAGTCACTTCCTTCATATTATAATTTTAACACAAAACATTCAGTTCAATTGGAATCTCGAATCTGGTGCATTACAACAAACAGAACATTTTCTCATTTCAATTTTCAGACATTTTCTCTTCAGTCCAATATTTTTCATTTCAACAAAGAATTCTTCCATGTCTCTTAACCTTTGATTTCTTTCAGATGCATTAAGAGGTGGCAATTCACCACCAAATTCTGCAGGAAGATATTTTAGATCGAATTCTTTGTGGAGGTTTTCCATATTGGATCCATGGAAATGAAGCTAAAATTAATTTACAGTTAAAATTATACATATTTATGGTTTATTTGTAATTAATATGGTAATAAATCAACGTATGTACTGTACAGTACATATTTTTAGGAATAGCTGTTAAGCCCTGGTTTATAAAGTACGTTTCGCAGTTAAACCCAACGTTATGAATCGTAAATTTCAAAAATATATGTGGTAAAATCCATTTTAAATTAATTATCCGAATGTCCATGAACTACGTAAAAGTACGTCCTGGTAAATAGCAAGTTTATAAATAAATTATTACAATTATTTTGGTTTATTTGATTACGGAAACGTGACACGTGAGTAATCTTCTGACGGGGATCTCCCGAGAGGAGTTTTATGAAAAAGTATCCCCTATTTTTATGTTACTAACTTGAAGATAACCCGGAAATGTAGGTGGCTAGTCCATTGACGAAGCTCAAACCCGTGACTAACTACTAGTGAAACAGTTTCGACTCCACACAGGTGAGTACTGTGTGCATTAGAGTAAAAATATAAATTGTCACCTATAACAAAGTGAATGTATTGTAATATTCGTTTTAATTATACCCTTACTATATGAATTATATTGAGTTTATAACTTTTTAAAATTCTTTTGCCAATAGATGACGTTACTGCAAATCCAGTAACTCCAGTGTAAACAGTAATTACTGTATTTGGATCACCAATTGCAAAAAATCTCTAAGCTCTACTAAGTGCTGGACTCTAGTAAAAATGTGTATCATAAAATCATAAAGATTGCTATAAGTAGAAATTCTGAATGAGGATTCTTGTTCAAATTTAATTTTTCACATTCAGCTTTATAATGAAGTGTAATGTTTCAATAATTTCTTTATTATTGAAATTGTTAATTAATTAATTTTCTTATGTGATTATCTTATATAAAATAAATAAATCTGCATATTTTCATTCATGGAGTTCATGTACAGTTAATCTGAGCTTCCTACCTCGCGATTTTCGCATGTAGTCTCTATTTTCTTCTAACTTCTTTCTTGAGATGAAAGAAGGACAAACAGTCATACTGTCGGAATTCATAGGTAGGAATTTTTTAAATTGTAACCCAATAATTTTAATATATACGATATATTTACAAGAATATACTGTCCACGTAGTTTATACAATCCGTTGCCAAAATATAAACACTTTATTATCACGTAACAGAAATTATTTTAGTATTCCTAAAAGACTATTTTTATTTAAACAAATCATATGAAGTCTTTTGGACGTTAAAGTATCAACTTCGTCACTTGGGCCATTACAACCATTTCAACATGGATAACTTTTCAAATATTCATATTAATTAGTAGTCGATGACCATCCTCTCTACTGGGAGGAGATCAACGACAATTTTTGGTCGAATTAACTTCAACTTCCATCTGCATCTGTCCTTTCTTTCTATCGGACCAGCAGTATGGCATTCGCATAGGAAAATTACATAATACAAGATTACAGGTGAGCACAAATTCAAGTGATTTTTGAGGATGCCAAGTTTAAATATTTGGTCAATTTTAGCCAAATTTGTTTCGTTGGCAGATTACCATGTGATAATCGGCTGTGAATGGTACCGTTTCTTAGAGTTAAAGACAGTTTACAGTACTTTTAAATCTGCTAGATTGGTCACTTAGTGTGATAAATCCTTACCTAAAATAACCGTTGTAGTTCAAATCCTGATGTATAAATGGATAACGATGACATTATCAAAACGTTATAATTCTCAAAAAGAAAAAAAAACAGGTCTTCCTTGCTCACAGGAGAAGCGGATTGCGGATCAAAATTCTCATTTGCTTGCTGCATGTGACAAGCAAACGCGCAAGCATACAAAATTTAATAGAAATATATGAACCGGTTTTACTCTCACATATGATCACGTCTTCCGGATTCCCCTGCCCTATCGAGCTTAATTGTGACGCGTCGTCATAATCTTAAACTCCATATTTAGACCATGCACTTTAAACTAAAAAAAAAAACAATGTAATTAATAACCTCAACGATTAATTTATTCGTAGTACAAATAATGTCGTTATCTTAAACTTTATATCATTTTCGTAATCGTCAGTATTCTAATAATATAGTCTATTATAAATGCGAATCCATCGATTTAAATATCAGTTTAAGCGTGTATTTCTAAGTGTCATATTGTTACGCCTGATTTTTCAGAGCAGTTTTATGCAAATTATTTTCACTGAATTCGTAACATTAAGCGTCAATACAGACTTGTTATTAAATATAATTTAAGTGACCAGATTTGTTGTTAGAATGCGGTACACATCTGATGCCCTGGGTACTTAGCACGGTTTGACCGTTTATCAATAAACGAAAGCAAACAAACATATCTAATCTCATTACATCACAATGATCTGAGGCAGAGTAAATAACTTTATATTTTTTCTTATATAACTTAATTTAATATGATTTTTGAACACTACAATGTTTTATCCTAAGAGTCTAATTATATAAGCCTAAAGCAATTGTGTTGAAAAATTATATTTAAATACACCTAAATGGAGGCCATAAATTCTTTATGGAGGCATTCACCCCTAGGCAAATCGTCCACGATATGTTATCCATTCAACCTACAATCCTGTGTTGATTGATTTTAGAAAGTGCACAAACAAAACGCAAGTGTAAGCAGCACGTGTATGTACCGTACGTTATATGTAAGTTAATGATTCTGCTACGTATAATTTATCGAATTTCTCGAAATTATTCATAAATCTAGAATTTTTGATAACTTGGCACAACGTTGTGTCGTAAGTTCCGGATTATAGAATCTGTATATATTTATAATCATCCTTTCTAATCCTTAACATTACCATACAAATAATTACTTTTAAATATTATTTATCCGTACACCGAATACTTCATTCACTAAAATCGCTGGTTTCAATCATAAAATTATAATTAAAATTTGCAACATATTTGTTTTCATTTTCACAAGAAGTTAACAGAGGAAAACACAGGGCTTTTTAATCCCTTCAAGAAAGATGAGGAAGTCCTTTACGTTCACTGTTAAGAATTCGTTGTTTGTTTATTGTTAATTGCCTGTTTGCTCTCGATGATAATTTTAGAATTTCCGATCGAAAGGGTCAAACGTATCAAAATATTAAACCAGAATTTTCGTATAATCTCTATTATTATCAAACAGTTAATGTTACGACAGGATAAATATGTCTACTTCACGACATTAACAGAAACAACTTACTCAGAATATTTACTGATATACTGTTTTAATATATATAAATAACTAAATTCAATAACAATACAGTAATGAAAGTATGTGTATATACAGGATTGGTGGAAAGTAACTAGCTATTGAAAAATTTACTACAATATCTAAATTTCTAAAGCAAAGGTAATTTATTTGACTCGTAACTTATTAAATACAAATACGGAAGAATACCTTATAATTTAATTCGGTATGTTTCAAAGATATGTTTTTCTCAGATATTGATGTGAATAAACGGCCATTTATCGGCTTCCGCAACCAAACCTGTGGTAATTTAGGCTAGGACTCCACTACCGTAAAAACGGCGTAAAAACCCCTCGCCGTAAAAGCTTTTAATCACGTGACTCTGATATCTTACACTTGAGCAGGCCGTAAAACCAGCGTAAGTGAGTTGAGCTATGTTCAACTTTCGACGCGAATACGGCCGTAAAGAGGTACCTTCCACCAATCAGAAGTTAGCGAAATCTAGGTCATCGCGACACGGAGCTAAAATGGCGGAAAACGAGCTTTTGTGTACGTTCCCTCGTAACTACTCTAGAATAGATCCAAAAAGATTTATCGAAAACATCCGAAAGTATTCGTGTATCTATGACAAGAGGTAACCTGATTATAATAACGGATACCAAAGGAAATCCTTCAATTTAGAGGAGTATATAATAAAAAAGCTAAGCTTATAAGTGCTGTATATTATCTTAATAATACGATAATAAAAGTTAGTATATGAAAGTAAAGATATTATTTATACTATATTTGTAATTATAGTACTAAAAAAACTCGTAGAATATAATCATTGTCTTTTTATCGATACATCACGTATACAAGTCTTTCGTTTCTACCAATTCACGTGCGAAGAAGTACTTACTTTCGACACTTGGGGCAGCACCGTTGCCGCACTAGCCGGACCTCCACCGTAATCTGAGCGCAAACGCAATAGGTCACGTGATTAAAAGCTTTTACGGCGAGGGGTTTTTACGCCGTTTTTACGGTAGTGGAGTCCTAGCATTATTCTTCGAATGACAGTTTTTGTTTGTTTCCTGATGGGTTGTGACACAACGATCCTTCATCGCTTTCTGTCATCTCATTGATCACTGAGATGACGGAAAACTGGCGGAGGTGAGGTTATAACCCGTTTTTATATGTAAAAATTCGACTAATAAAAATGAAAATCAAAACTTTTTTGATGATTCATACCTGTTTAAATCTGCGTATATATAAGAAAATATTGTATATCAAATTCTTAATTAATTAAGTAATATAAAATTAATAAGGTCGATGATATTGTTTTTAATCCAGGAACTGCCTTCTGTGTGTGTATATATATATATAGTTATATATACAGGTAATTACTACACATTAGTGTTTTAGTATAGCTTATACTATATTAAAATATTATTATACAGGGTGTATTCTTTATCTTGAAACAATGAAATAACTTAATTGGATCTCATTATTTTGGAAAAAGATATAGACAATAGTCGTAGGATATCGAGGGGCCAATTAATTGGTGACCTCAGACGTGACCTTGTCCTTGACCTTCAAGGTCATTTAGAAGTCAAGTCTGTTTTTTCAATGGGAACACATATCTTTGACCCCAGAAATGGAGAGAGCGAGAAATTTCACAACTGGATGTACAGTATCTTTGATCTTATTGTCTAGGTCCAAGGTCAAGATTATTTTAACGTTAAAATTATAAGCTTTTTTTAATGGAAAACTATACTTTTTATATAATACAATATTATCTACAAACCTATGTAGGATAAAGTGGTGAACCGAATTAGGCAATGAATGCGTGCAATTAGAGTATAAAGTAAAACGTTGCACCACGTATGTATAGATAAATTGTATTATATTCAATCCTTCCTCGTATATTTTTTCATCCCTTTTATCTGATGTTGAGTCCTCCAGCTCAGGTTGATTCATGTCTATTCTTTCGCTGCGGAAAGTATAGTTGAATGCCATGCTTATTATCCGCGCTGTTTACGCATCATTGCTATAAAAATAGGTGAATAAATCGAATGTTTCACCCTCGTTGTTTTGTTTGTTATTACAGTTCAATGTTTTTCAATAAAATTTATTTTCACACTCGCAGCATTCAAAACTTTTTTCCACCATCCAATCCTGGTTTACCTTATATAAGAAGTACAATTTTGTAAAAGATTCTATAAATTGTTCAAAAAGTAATCGAAAACCCAAAACAATTTCACTTATTCTTAACGTTTTCGAGATCGATTTAAATAGTAGAACTCACTTTTAACAAATTTTAAAAAAATAAATAAGAGAAGTGTTTATAAATTTATATACGAAAGTTGTTGTTCATTTGAAAAAAATGTTTCAAAATCTCTACACTAAAGCAAAACTTTTACAATGAATTTAACAGACGGTGTGATTAGTCCTACAGTTTTTAACAGTAAATTTATACAGAATACATTAAAAATAATTTAAATATTTGCTTTTAAACAATATAAACATATTCACCAGTCACTGCCTTTATATTAGTGTTCTAACATAAAGTATTCAATGTAATCATAACATTACTAATGTATACCGAATACCTAATGCGTTATTTCAAACTGGACATTTTCTAATTTCTGGCTTCAGATATTTCCTCTTCGGTCCAATATTTTTCATTTTCAATAAAGAATTCTTCCATGTCTCTCAACTTCTGATTACTTTCAGACTCGTCGAAAGGAGGCAAATCGCCGCCAAATTCTGCAGGAAGACATTTTGGGTCGATTTCTTTGTGGAGATTCTCCATGTTTGATCCGTGAAAATGAAGCTGAAATAAATTTAAAATTAAAAATATTTTCGTTTATAATATTATATTTTATTACAGATTTGTTCTTTCTAAAATACACTAATTTAATTCTAAAACTAATACAGATTTGTTTCTATCAATTCGCCATCAAATCTGACAGTAGTGACTGCCACTTTTTTCTTAGACAAGTTACCTATGCATAACTAGAATAATGGAAATTATTAACATGTTATAGTTGAAAGTATTTCAAAATAATCTTCATTAAAGGTATTGAATTCAGTACGTTTAAGCAACAGAAGCGAAATTAAAGAAACTATAATCAGATTTAAGTAACAATTTACTAGACAATCAGTGACCCGTCGGTCATTTGGTACTTAAAACTTATAAAAAATAAAAGATACTGTTATAGGTGTTAGTATTATTTTATCGTTTTACTCGTATATTGCAACACAACACACGGACAATCTCCCCAGAAAATCTTTTATCAGAAACTGGCTTCTGTTAAAGTCTTACAAAAGTGAAGAAAACTTGGAGAGTCTACGTGGCCAGTCTATTGGCAATGCATGAATCCATGACCAACTAACATCAGTGTTCAGTGGTTTTTATCCACTCGCCACAGTTGAGCAGCGTTTTAGAGATGTGTAATGCTTCGGCATATCTCGTTTTATAGATTTCCCTCGAAAAATACTTCGTGTCATCTCAGACTCGAACATCGGTCATGCGAGACAAGGTGAGAGCCTATAACCTGTGACGTGAAAAGCGTTTTATCTCAAATATCTTATTATCTATTGTGATATCGTCACAATACCGAGCTGCAATTTTTTCAGTTGGATGCACAATGCTCTTGATTATAACAGTTTCCTTTTCCTATGTATCATACTCCTCCTGTTAACAAAGGAGTCGTGCCGGTTATCTAACTCTGTTCTGTTTGATTATAACGAAGCTTGTTTTAGATTGTTTTGTTTTCATTTGGCATATGGGCTTCTTAAAAGTGTAGTGGTATATTGCACTATTTTTTTAGGTATTCAATTACAACAAAACAAACAAGTTCAGAGTTTTAGTAGTACAGTAGACCCCTATAACGCGGATTCCTATAACGCGGATTCCTATAATGCGGATTCATATAACGCGGCGAAAAAATTGCGATGGTATTCGTATAAAGATGGTAAAAGAGACTCGAAAAACGCGGTAAAACGTCATCGCCGACTCGTGTCGCGACAGGATTGGTCGAATCTGGACCAATAGTAGACGAGCAGCCGAACTACTTACACGCTACAGAGAGTTTAGACAGGTAAGTTGAGTTTACTATCGTCTGTACAGTATGTAAATTAGGTACCTTAAGTCTAATACAGCACTGTAATTTTATACATTTCTTGTGAAAGAAACATTTCTTATTCAACGGCCATAAAAATTATTTCTATTAATGATGTCTCCAAAGTTCAACAAATTTTTCGCAGAAAAATAACTTATCAGAAATTGTGGCCGCCGTTTGGTGCGCTGCTCCGCGACGAAAACAAGCTTAAGCAATGGCGACGAATGGTGCACACTCGGTAAGCAATCCTACAATTTTTTGTTTATAGCATAGTTTATAGAGATTATTCCGAAAAAATTATACGTATTTTGAAAATATTGAGTCGAATTAGTCTTGAATCGATTAATTTTATGGAAGAAAACCTTTCAAACAGCCGTAGTCCGTAAACTTCACACGTGTCGGGCTGTGATTGGCTCATATATTTAAGGATTCCTACAACGCGAAATTCTTATAAAGCGGAACGTATCTACCGAATGATAGGGGGTCTATTGTATATAGATAACTACTGTAATGGATCGATTTTTTTCGAACTTATATTCTACGAAACTTCAGAAAAGGCGAATTATTTTCTCCAAACCGAAATCACCAAAAACAAAAATCTTTTTCATTCATACTAAAATTTTACTTAATACTCACCCTTTGCTTTAATTTATAAGGGAGAAACGGGAAAGCCATTGCTGCGATAGCATGCAAGTATTTGTTAACGTTGACAATGTGAACCCCTTTGTAAGTTAACGGAATACATTGCTAAAAAAGAAGAAAATTTAAATAAAACTTATTTCATTGAAATATTCCTGTAAATAAAATTGTGATATATAAAAATATGAATATCTGAAGTTATCGATAATAAAAATCGAAGATACGTTATTAATTTCTTGGGATGCCGTGTGTCGTATATGACACGCAATTTTCCTTCCAAAGAATGAAAAGCAGTTCTGCTTTTTTGCTTGCTAAACAATTATGTTAGTTATACATTTTGTCATTAGAGTTTAGTGAAGCTTATTAAACCACATGCATTCCACTGTGACAGAAACAATGGAAAATATAAGTGATTGTCTGAGCATATGTTTTTAAAAGTGATCGTAAGTATAACTGTTTGATGTCAATATTTAGTTTTCTCTATTTCTATTGGTTACAATTTTACAATTTATACATATTCTTGTTGAGGAGGCTTCTAAGATTACATAAGAGTATTTTTTAAAAATTATATTAATAACAATATTTTATGAGATGAGCTAACTTTTCAACATGTCGTATACGACACATTGGGTCTCTATGTNCAATAATTAATTGCTCGTTTTACTTATCCTCTTGGGATGCCGCGTGTCATATATGACACGCCATTTTCCTTCCAAAGAATGAGAAGCAGCTCTGCTTTTCTGCTTGCTAAACAATTATGTTACTTATACATTTTGTCATTACAGTTTAGTGAAGCTTATTAAACCACATGCATTCCACTGTGACAGAAACAAAGGAAAATATAAGTGATTGTCTGAGCATATGTTTGTAAAAGTGATCATAAGTATGACTGCTCGATGTCAGTATTCAGTTTTCTCTATTTCTATTGATTATAATTTTACAATTTATACATATTCTTGTTGAGGAGGCTTTTAAGATTATACAAGAGTATTTTTTAAAAACTATATTAATAACAATATTTTATGAGATGAGCTAACTTTTCAACGTGTCGTATACGACACATTGGTTCTCTATGTTACAATAATTACATTACAGTGTATGAACTGTTTTCGTATTTGCAAGTTATTTACTTTTATAGGTATTTGGTCATTAGGACCGCAATATGTATTCTACTATTTATTATCATTCTTTATTCAATTAATTTATTAAAAAAATAATTATTTATTTTTATTCATCACAAATTTTTGTAAATTTTTTGTCTACTTATTTATTTGGTCTGCAAGATTTTTTTTTATTAAAAACTTATAAATTCTTAATATCATAAATCACATATTTATAATAAACGTCAATGATTTAGTTTTAATTTCTCATTGTCAACAGTCGAAAAAAATAAGAAACGTGATAGGACACACGATAAGACACATGATATTGATAGAAATTTGTCTGAAGTGGAAGGCTGGTTCAGTGATAAAGACAGTGATAAAACATTTGTTCTTTGAGCAGACTGTTCTGTAGAGTGTAAGTCATTAGTCTGCCCAAAGAACAAATTAAAAAAAAGTGTCAAAATCGCTATCACATTCAGACAGTACAGGCAATAAGAAAAAAGGGATCAATAAAAATGACGAAAAAATAGAAAATTATACAAAAAATAGTTCAACTTTGCATCCCAGTGAAATACAATGGAAAAGTGAAGCAAAACACATGCCAGAAATCATTGTAAATTGCAAAAATTACCATTGCCCAATGGAAGAATGTAAAAGTGTATGAGCTACAATGTACTGTATCAACTGCAAAATACATCTGTGCCTTGGTAAAATAAAAATCGTTTCTAAGCATATCATATGTAAATTTAAAATGTCAAATAATGTACAAAAACAGTCAAATAAACCATTTTTACATGAACGGAAAAGTTTGCATTTTGTATAGGTAGAGAACCGTTGTGTCATATATGACAAGTACTATTTTTTTTAATGACCAGAACAAAAAACATTTTAGAAAAATGAAAACTTACTAATAAGTGACACCTAAAGGTCAAAAGCATAACAAAACTTCAATAATAAAATAGTTTTTTTCAGTAGTGGATCCCAAGAGGTTAACCCAGATGATGCCATGTGTATTGAAGAAATTTAAGAAAATTCTTAGTACCCTATACAGCAAGAGTTAACTTATGAAACAGATTTACCGTCTCTAAATATGGAAGTTTAACACGATACGTTAGAATGAGAGAAGAGTAAAGAATGATAACATACATGGTGTTTTTAAGCCTCTTAGTATATTGACAGGTAATAAGATAATGTACAGTACTTATTACATGGATCATTTCTATACTTAAATCAATTACTGTCGAATAAAATATACAGAATATTACGATTTTCGTCGTTTGAATTGTTTACTTTACATCGTATTTAGGAACATTTTCCTGTTCTGAGGTTTAGTTACAAACTCACAATATATAGGGTATTTCAAAAATGTATGTAAAAAATAAAGCGGTTATATTAGAGATTAATTTTAAATTAAAATCTAACACAAAAAAACGCTTCGAACCAAAAATGGCACTAGAATTTTCGACTCAAAATTAATTTAACTTTCCTTCATTGTTTTACACAATACTGAAACAGTCAGTATACAATGATTATAAAATTTATACTAAAAAACAAAGCTAATCATTGAGTACGATTGGGCCGCAATTTTCAAACTGCAGCCCTATAAATTCACAATGTCTTCTGTTCGTTTGTCCGACAGACTGTCCTTCCTAAATTCTCGAGAATGCAGACAAAATAGATTAAAGTGGACACCTTATGAAGGTCCATATTAACTATATATACAACTCTCCGGGTTAGACAGTAAGTGATGTTATTTCAATTCAAAAATGTTCTCCAGAATGCAGTTTTATAAATGACTGACATGACTCTATTGTTTAATTAATATCTTTATTTATTTATAAAGTAAAAATATTTTACGCTATACTTACATATAAAGATGATACTATTAAGTAAAGCAATCTTGGATTAACTTGAATAAAATGTCTCCACGATAATGTCTTCACATCTATCAATACATATACGCCATTTACTTGCAAAGGATGGTCATTTAGTTCCATGTCTACCAAAAGTATTACACTTCTAAGTATATCTATTAGTTTTACTTTAGTTGGATCCCAATGACCTAACAATAGATAAGTTTTATGTTGTTTATCACAATTTAATGATAAAAAATATTTAAAAAGTAAAAGGTTAAAACTCACTGACTCTACCGAATCCCACAATTTGACCTGTTTCTAATACTTTATAACTCATTAAGCCCGTTTGTAGACATGTTTGCAATGCTGAAGGTCTAAGATCCTTAAATACATCCTTATACTTCTTCCTTGCTGAATAATAATTTTTGAGTAATTTCAAAGCTCTTTCTCTGTCGTATTTTCTTGCTCGTAGAAAACTCAGAAGGAATATGTCGTCAGTCCTGCATTTCAATTGCTCCTCTTGTTTTGCAACCATGAAAAATACATCATAAGTTTTGTAAATTTTTGAGTTCAGCTCTTATAATAAAAAGTATTAGATGCAAATGAATAAATCTTAAGGTTGAAATCTTTTTACAAAATATTTTATTTTTTACTCAGTTAATATAAGAAGCTATCAACTTGCAACTAATTTGTTTATAGTATTTTATTTTACGTATCTTGACTCACTCAAGATCATTTCGTTCGTGTACAAAAGGAATCAACGAATATATTTACAATAAAAACATCATAAGCAATATCTGTTGGCTTTTATGCATTAATACATTTACAAGTTAATTCATAAAACATTTGGTGTGCAAGAGACAATGGTAAATTTTAACACGGCACTAATAGAGAGATCAGAAGAATATGCAGACCATGACAATGCTCTCTTATCAGAAGTAATGAGATCATGTACAGTGTTGTTTAATGATAGATGCCGTGGAAACCATAAGTAACTTATTTCGAGTGGTTAAAACTCATTATCACGTACTTTTTCTGTATCTGAATATTATCTTTCATTCGTCGTGAACTTTATTGCTTTTTCGAATAATTAGCTAATAAACATGTCAATTCTTTCCAGAAATAAATTGCGAGGATTAGCTGAAAAAATATGAACATTATCGCTCATAAACTCTCGAACTTCTGTAATGAAACATAAACAATAAAAACAGATAATTAAATTCATCTAACCCGCTAGCTTATCTTGTCTTGCCTTATCTACTTCAAACGAAGACATCGAATTAATCAGAGATCTTTGTATACATTTCAAGATGTCTTTCCAATACATAATTGCTTCTCGTGGGTCCAAAAAACCTGTTCGATATGGTTTTGTAGGAAATCTTTTCGCTGTTCTCGTATTATAAAACAGATCAATGCAATGTTTTACAAAAAATATGTATAAAATGTACTGTACGTTATAGAAATGAGAGAATTTTCAAACAAAAAAATTAGGTCTTCATTTTCATCAAAATAAATTACAAAAACCAAATTATGACGTCTGTCTTACGTGCAAATACTGTACTAATATCTCAAGTACAATATTCCCTTCGTATAGTCTGTGAAGATATTTAATCTACTTTATTCATTGCTAGCAAATATAGTTACAATAATTTACATGTTTATTTTCATACAATTAGATATATTAGGTAACTAGCAGGTGGGCCCGGCGTTGCTCGGGCAAAAGTAACGATAACTAAGATAAAGATTATTACGTTACAGTCAACCTTACCCGTTTTCACAAAATGAAAGAATTGGGTCCTCTTGTTTCCAGACTAATTATAGAATTTTTAGATGGGTCTAAAAATATGTTCGATTTCCCGCAAAAACGAAAAAACTGCATCTGCGTCTTGCACGTCACTGTCTTTTAACAATTCAATTGTTACGTAACACTTCCATTGTTCACACTTCCATTGTTACTTAAAACTTTTATTGTTACTTAAAACTTCCATTGTTACTTAAAACTTCCATTGTTACTTAGCATTTCCATTGTTACTTAACACTTTCATTGTTACTTAACACTTCCATTGTTGATGGAAGTGTTAAGTCTTAATCCTGTCTCTCTCCCCCGTGGGGAGGAATTTCGAAAAAGCCCTTCTTAGTGTGCGTTCTCCTAACGTACCCTAACCGTGTACCAAATTTCAACTTTCAACTCCTAACCGTTTGGGCTCGTATCCATAATGTATATAGAAGTTTTAATCCTGTCTCTCTCCCCCCGGGGGGAATTTCGAAAAATCCCTTCTTAGTGTGCGTTCTCCTAACGTACCCTAACCGTGTACCAAATTTCAACTTTCAACTCCTAACCGTTTGGGCTCGTATCCATAATGTATATAGAAGTTTTATTATTATTATATTAAAGTATTTACAGAAATTGGCGATTACGTTCTTAGCTATGTCGCTGCCCTAGTTTCTATTTCAGAGAGAGAGCGCTTTTATAAAATCTAACCCTTAAATACCTCTAGGTGAAAGGGAGAGTTGGCGAACGTCGTCTGTATGAAAGGATGTGGTGTCTTCTATGTCTTCTCCGACGGCATTAGTCCTTGGCATGGAGATTGACGAACACAAGTACAAAAAATACCTTTCGTGTGCGGACGTCCCGAGTTTCCGGTGATCTCCCCTTTTATATCTTTTTGTGCGCGAGCTGACAGGTCATCGATTCTTGTTGCCGATCACGGTGCATTCTTCACACTCAAATGTAAACTTCCTCAGCTAGTTGTTACACAATCGGTGAAATCCGATATAGTTTAAATTCCTCGGGTTTTATCCGAAGTTAATTAACCGAAAATTTAGATGTTTAAGCGGCCAGTACAAATCCGAAAAAATCCGCGCTTCACATCACATTTGGACCGACATAAAATAAAATAAATGTTTATTAATTCTATAATTTAGAAATTATATCACTAATATACTGTAGTTTTAAATATAGAACAACACTAAATTTTTAATATATAATTTATCAAAAATATATTTATTAATATGTAAACGATACTCACTTAGAACAGTCGTTCGAAATTCCTGTAACTCCTTCTCGTTCCATTTGTATTCTTTGGTCGCTTCCATTTCTATATCATTTTTTATAATATAAAAAAATTAAATTATTAATCTCATAGATTTCTAATAATTATGCGAAAAATTATCTTGTCGAATTACTGTCAAATCTATTAAATTATCTTTTATTATAAGACTTAAAACTTCTCTAACTCACTTATCTAACCAGCTGCATATAATGGCTGCATTTCTCATATCAATAATATCGTAATCTAAACTAGATATTTAGATTAGAGACTTTAAACTTTGTACTAGGAAAACCGATGAAAAAATTGTTTATCTTTTTTTTGGGACGTGTCCTTGTATTCGTGTGAAGCAATTATAGAAACTTGTGTGTTTGGATACCGTATGCTTGGAGGTAAGTCCCAATATTTTCTCACAATAAGGTGACAACGGTCAGATGGCGAATTATATGGTATGACGACCACCCTAATTTCCAAAATTTGATATTCTCTAAAAACATAGGTGAAAATCCTTTTATCTTTTATCTTATCGTGTACTGTTTGACCTATAGATTACTCTTTTTTACATATGAAATTTACCTCAATCACTGTAAGTTTACATTGCGCTTATAATTATATGCAAACAATTATATTCTCCTCATCTTCAAGTTAGAGAATATCGAGATAAATTCATTAATCTATAAATCAGATTGCACCTAAGATAAATTTGGACGACCCGAAATATTTTACACCAGACAATTCGCTTTTGGAGTATTGTTAAGAGAATATTTATTAACTTTATATGTATGAATAATCAATTGTTTATTGATTTTCTACTTGTAAGATTATCGTCTTCTATTTTGACAATTGCTAAATAGTTAAAATTTAAACAAAATGTCATTATCTTAAACTTTATATCACTTTTATAATCGTTAGTATACTGATAATATATTTTAAATGCGTAATCATTCATTTTAATTTAAATTTAAGCGTGTATTTATAAATGCAAAATTGTTATATCTGATCTTTCAAAGCAGTTTTATGCAAATTATTTTCACTGAATTCGTAACATTAAATGTCAATACAAAGTTGTAATTAAATATAATATAAGTGGCTAGATTTGTTGTTACATCTGATGCCCTGGGTATTTAGCACGGTTTGACCCTTTTATCAATAAATCACAGCAAACAAACATATCTAATCCCATTACAACACAATGAACTGAGACACCAAAAATAACTATTTTAGCTTTTTTTTCTTGTTATATAACGTAATTTAAAATGATGTTTTCAACGCTACAATGTTTTTCTTAAGAGTCTAATTATATAAGCTTAAAGCAATTGTATTCAAAAATTAAATTTACATATTAACACCTAAATGGAGAACAGTATTTCATAGAAATTCTTTATGGAGGCATTCACCCCTAGGCAAAAGCCCACTTTGTGTTATCCAATCCTGTGTTAATTGAATTTAGAAAGTGCACAAACAAAACGTATGTATAAAGCAGCACATGTACTGTACATGTATTTACCGGATGGTGGAAAGTAACTAGATACTGAGAAATTACTATAATTTCTAAATTTCTAAAGCGAAGATGATGAGGTTTATTTAACTTGTTCTTTATTAAATACAATTTAACGTAAGCATCCACCAATGACTGTCATATCTCTGCATCTGCAAACCAAACCTATATTCATTTATGTTTCGGAGGACAGATTTTGATTGTTTCCGGACGGATTGAGGAATAACGATCCTTCATCGTATTCCATCATATCAGTAAGCAATGCTTTCCACACCCAGAGTGTGCAGCAATCATATTTTAAATTATTAATACAGCTTATATTAAAATATTTTTACATAATAGAATTTTTTCCACAAATCTATGTAAGAAAAACCGGCGAAGGACGGAAGTCGTTAATATCTTGATACGTTTGATTCTTTAGATTGGAAATTGTAAAGTTATCATCGAAAGAAAACAGGCAATTAACAATAAACAAACAACGAATTCTTAACAGTGAACATATAAAAAACTTCTTCATCTTCCTTGAATGGATTAAAAAGCCCTGTGTTTTCCTCTGTTAACTTCTTGTGAAAATGAAAACAAATATGTTGCAAATTTTAATTGTAATTTTATAATTGGAACCAGCGATTTTGTGAAAGAAGTATTCGGTGTACGGATAAATAATATTTAAAAGTAATTATTTGTATGGTAATGTTAAGGAATAAAAAGGATGATTATAAATACATACAGGTTCGATATTCCAGGACCTACGACACAGCGTTGTGCCAGATTATCAAAAATTCTAGATTTATGAATAATTTCGAGAAATTCGATAAATTATACGCAACAGAATCATTAACTTACATATAACGTACGGTACATACACGTGCTGCTTACACTTGCGTTTTGTTTGTGCACTTTCTAAAATCAATCAACACAGGATTGTAGGTTGATTGGATAACACAAAGTGGGCGATTTGCCTAGGGGTGAATGCCTCCATAAAGAATTTCTGGCCTCCATTTAGGTGTATTTAAATATAATTTTTCAACACAATTGATTTAGGCTTATATAATTAGACTCTTAGGATAAAACATTGTAGTGTTAGAAAATCATATTAAATTNTAAATTAGGTACCTTAAGTCTAATACAGCACTGTAATTTTATACATTTCTTGTGAAAGAAACATTTCTTATTCAACGGCCATAAAAATTATTTCTATTAATGATGTCTCCAAAGTTCAACAAATTTTTCGCAGAAAAATAACTTATCAGAAATTGTGGCCGCCGTTTGGTGCGCTGCTCCGCGACGAAAACAAGCTTAAGCAATGGCGACGAATGGTGCACACTCGGTAAGCAATCCTACAATTTTTTGTTTATAGCATAGTTTATAGAGATTATTCCGAAAAAATTATACGTATTTTGAAAATATTGAGTCGAATTAGTCTTGAATCGATTAATTATATGGAAGAAAACCTTTCAAACAGCCGCAGTCCGTAATCTTCACACGTGTCGGGCTGTGATTGGCTCATATATTTAAGGATTCCTACAACGCGAAATTCTTATAAAGCGGAACGTATCTACCGAATGATAGGGGGTCTATTGTATATAGATAACTACTGTAATGGATCGATTTTTTTCGAACTTATATTCTACGAAACTTCAGAAAAGGCGAATCATTTTCTCCAAACCGAAATCACCAAAAACAAAAATCTTTTTCATTCATACTAAAATTTTACTTAATACTCACCCTTTGCTTTAATTTATAAGGGAGAAACGGGAAAGCCATTGCTGCGATAGCATGCAAGTATTTGTTAACGTTGACAATGTGAACCCCTTTGTAAGTTAACGGAATACATTGCTAAAAAAGAAGAAAATTTAAATAAAACTTATTTCATTGAAATATTCCTGTAAATAAAATTGTGATATATAAAAATATGAATATCTGAAGTTATCGATAATAAAAATCGAAGATACGTTATTAATTTCTTGGGATGCCGTGTGTCGTATATGACACGCAATTTTCCTTCCAAAGAATGAAAAGCAGTTCTGCTTTTTTGCTTGCTAAACAATTATGTTAGTTATACATTTTGTCATTAGAGTTTAGTGAAGCTTATTAAACCACATGCATTCCACTGTGACAGAAACAATGGAAAATATAAGTGATTGTCTGAGCATATGTTTTTAAAAGTGATCGTAAGTATAACTGTTTGATGTCAATATTTAGTTTTCTCTATTTCTATTGGTTACAATTTTACAATTTATACATATTCTTGTTGAGGAGGCTTCTAAGATTACATAAGAGTATTTTTTAAAAATTATATTAATAACAATATTTTATGAGATGAGCTAACTTTTCAACATGTCGTATACGACACATTGGGTCTCTATGTTACAATAATTACATTACAGTGTATGAACTGTTTTCGTATTTGCAAGTTATTTACTTTTATAGATATTTGGTTATTAGGACCGCAATATGTTTTCTATTATTTATTATCATTTTTAATTCAATTAATTTATTAATAAAAATAATTATTTTTTTTATTCATCACAAATTTCTGTGATTTGTTTTTG